TATCCTCGTGGACATGTGTTTTCTCCGCTGTGAGAAAAACCCACAGATCAAATTGGTGATAACAGAAGGTGGTCTCACCATTGAGCGGCAGTGGAGGCGCTGTGACAAACTGGATTGCATGCCTTATCTATACTCAGCCCAGCCAATTGTTGCTACCAGCAGGAATACAGGTCTACTCTTGTCAAATCGTCCTAATTAATAAAAAGTTGGGCAACTAAAGAAGATGCTCCTGAGATGAAGGTCCATGCCTAAGTTTTCAAGTCCAATGTGGGCACCACCTCCCAGCCCCCAGGTGGCTGAGTGCCCACAGGGCAGGAGGCCCCAATCACTGTGTGTGCCAGATGCTTGGCATCGCTGAGCCCCACAGAGGGCAAGCAACATGGGCTGGCTGTCCAGACCTTGCAAAGCGAAGGAAGCCTTAACATCAGACCCTGCAGACCCTGGAAGTGACCATCTGAGCGTGCCCTTGTCCTAGGGACTGCGCACTGCTCAGAGGCGACGACGCCTGTGGCTTTCCTCCAATACTCATCCACATCCGTATTCACTGGCCGAGGACAGGCCGAGTCACAGGTGTGCCCAGAGGGCTCTTGTTCAAGCCGGGACGCTGAACAGGGAACCTGAAGAGCCCTGGATCTTATCCAGAGGGCGAGTTACCAACCCCAACCCCTCCCCAGGAGACCGCCCTCCTGAACTTTCTCAGAAGGCTAATAACACGTCTGAGATGAATTAGCCAAATGTCCCATCTCCCTTCAACCAGAGGCAGCTGGCAACTCCATTGCAGAACCGTGGGGCACCCTTTTCCTACCAACTCTTTCTTTTTCCTTTGGCTTAAACAAGATATAAGTTTATTTGTCCTTCATGAAAAAAGTTGTAGGCAGTATTGATTCAGAGATGATTAAATCTAGGATACAATCTTCAGGGATTTTAAGGAAAAACGATCTCACTGACGTTAATCTGATAGAGAATGAACTTCTTGCTGTAATAAAAGTAGGAGAAACATGCTCTTAGGGAAAGAAAGAGAAGTTATTCTCCTTGAAGAAATTCTTGAAGTGACAGTTAACTAAGTTCTGAAGGCGATTACAATTCCAATAGACAACACTGGAATTAGAGGCTACATTTTCTCTTTCTTCTATAATTGTAGAATTTTTAAGTGAGTACATGAGTGCTCCCTTAAGGACTACATTTCCCAGAATTCCTTATAGCTAGCCCATCTACTGGAATACAAACAGATGTGTCATGAGGCAGTCGAGAGTCATGCTTAAGCCCTTACCCTCTTCTTTTCTGTCTTCCTATGGTTCCAGAATGTGGATAAGAGGTTTGAATCCTATCAACTCTTAGTCTCGAATTTTCTCCTTCGGGAGATGAAGGAAGGGAAGTCATTAAACTCTGGAGAAGTAAACTAGTCCCATCCGTTAGCCTGTAGATCCTGCAGCTGGGGGCTGGGGATACTCGGGGCATGGAGTCATCGCTGCCAGATGGAGCGGGAGGGTAGGAAGTCGAGGCTCCTTTTTGTGGAGGGCTGTTGGGGAGGCCCCAGACTGAGGGCGGCCTGGAGCCCGGGGCCATGCTTTGTGATCTTCCAGCGGCTTTTCTCAGCCACTCTCCCTTCTCCTTCCCTCATGAGACCAGTCAGCCAGGAGCGGCAACCGGGACACAGCGCCTGGAGGTGAGGACTGCGAGCCAGCTTGTCACAGACACCCCCAAGACCTCCACCCTTGCCAGTATCCGCCCTGTCCCCTGGCTGCACTCTGCACACTGGTCAGCATTTCATGTGCAGCTTTCGGGGCCAAAGAAGAGGCGTGGTGGGCAACACTGAGCCCCGCTTTCCTAACTACCCCCAAACCAAAGCCAAACTCACTGGACTGAGTCGATTCCGACCCACAGCGACCCCAGAGGGTAGATCTGCCCTCTGTGGGCTTGGGAGACAGTAACTCTTTCTAAAAGTAGAGAGCCTCATCTTCTCTCATGAAGCGCCTGGTGGTTTCAAACTGCTGACCTTGAGGTTAGCAGCCCAATGTGGAACCACTATGCTGCCAGGGTTCCTCCTGCTAACGACACAGACCCTTCACAAAGCTCCATGGAACGGTCGGAAATGCAAACCACCCACCTTGGCCCAGACTCAACTGAAATACGTTGGCCCAGTCCCCTTCTCTTCCCAGCCTAGAGAGAGGCCCAGGTACCTTTTACCCAGCATGCCACGTTCGGTCTACTATGGAAGTCCCTAGAATTTTGATCCTGAGGAAATCAGCGGAAGGTAGGAGCCGCTGCGCCTTTCCTCGGGTACCCAGTGGTTAAGCTCGGAGCTCTCGAGTGACTTGTCAACCTTCTGATCGCTCTTGTAACAGGCCTCACACAGCCTCGTGTCACTTCCCCAAGCAAAACCCTCCAATTAACCCCAGCGCGGTTCTGAAAGGACTTGTGTTCACACACTTGAGAAAACACAGCCGCCCTCCTCTGTCCATCACCGATCACCCCCCTCCTCCCAGCTGGGTCTGAAGACAGAATGCGGGCCCACACAACCCAGGCCAGGGGAGCAGGGCCTCCCAGTGCAGTCTGCTCCACAAAAGCTCCTCTGAGCGGCGGTGGGGGGCCTGTGATGAGCCACCTTCGGGTCCGCGTGCCCAGAGGACACAGAGACACCTTGACCTGCTCCAGAGGACTCGGCTTCTGGTTAAAAATAAACGGCCTCATCGGCCCCATCACCTCTCAGAGTGCTCCCTAA